CAAGTAGGCACTGGTCCCACCAAGTAGTATTTCAAGGTTTTCTCTAAATTCACTCCATCCTTGTGCGCCCCGTTCCTCTCACTGGACCGGGTGGGTTTTCCCGACGTAACCCCTTGCTTTCTCTCCCCGTACCTCTGGTTCATGCTGCAACTCCCGCTAAGAATCTGCCGCCTCCCCTCACGCTTTGGCTCCAGTTCCACCCTAGCCCCTAGCTCCGTCTGAGCACCACTTCCTCCAGTCTGTGGGTCTCCCAAGTGTGGGCCTGGCCAGCAGCATCAGTACCGCACGGGACAGTCGAAACGCATTCCCCCAGACCCCGCTGGGGACCTGCTGAACCGAAACTCTGGGCCGGCGCCCTGCGGGGGACTCGCTGTGGGCTCACGTCTGAGAAAGACTGCTCTGAGACGTACCATATGCTCTCCCCAGCCCACTCTGCGCTCGCCTTCCCACAGCAGGGGAGGCTGGTCCCAACACTTCACATGCTGCCCGGCACTCTAGCTTTCCTGGCCTCGATGCGCTTGCCCCCCCGCCCCCACCCCGCCCCCATCACCTGGGCTGGGTGATGAGCTCCCAGAGAGAACCCACACCCTTACCCAAGTCTGCCTCTGCCACCCCTGCAGAGCCTGGTACCGAGAAGGTGCACCATCAGGGCCGGACCCTGAATCCTGTTTCAGCGCTTACCTGGGTAAAGGAACGGGACAGCTGCTCTTCCTCAACTCTGACTCTGAAGCCTTCTAACTTCACCACTGGCGACATCCTGAGAGTTCCCCAGAGCGGCTGGATTGGCACAGACCGTGTCCTTGGGCTTCGGATGAAGAGAAGGTTCTCTCTCTCAAACTGAACTGTTTCTATAAAGTTCCTACCCCAGGCCTCCCTTAGTCCACATTTTTGTAGCACTAAAGCCACCTGGTTGACCAGAGAAAAGGGAGAGGCAAAGACGAAAAGCTTTATGTGACCTGTCACTGCTTCCCAGATTTGTGCTTGTGGGGAGAGAGGGTTTGAACCCATCAACAGATAGACACAAAATATCTTTTTCCTCCCAGACCTGTGTTCCAAAGATGCAGTAATGGTCACTGGGTCCAGGTTCTGAATCCATACTTTTCCAACAGGAAACAAGGTAGAACCACAAATCATTAAAAGCTGGAACAGGGCTCAGGAGTGTTCCAACAAAAGGCCCACGTTTGTTGCCGTTCCCTTTTGTCAATCCCTCGCTCTGCATGCACATCAGAGAAACACCTCAGAACAGAGCAAGACTCTTCCTATTCTAGAAGAACTTGGCTTTAGTGCTACAAACACACAAACTCAGAATAAAGACATCTACACTAAGAGCAAGACTCGTGATGTTTATGACGTAGGTGGTGCCAAAGATAAGAAACTGAGCATTTCCACGACCTTTTCGGCAACAGCTTCAATGCCAGAGACGCAAAGATGGACCGCTACCCTAAACCCTGAGTGGAATCTAAATCAAAACGTGAACTTTGCTCTGCACGCTCAGCCTGCTGCTTTTACGAGGCCTACCGATTCTGGGAGAGTTGACCGTCTGGGTGTTTTGTAACCGGTCCTGCAGGAAGGTGGTACGCTTGACCAGACTTTTCACTTTCTCTGCCTAGAGTCCTCCAGTAAGATGTGGTCTTTAATGACAGAATGCCATACCTAAATTGCCTGACTGCTTTAAAATCTGGGGTGGGGGTGAAGGACGACTTGCACTCGTTACAGAATTCTCTGCAACTCTGTCTCCGTCAATCAGGACGTTCAATGAAGCAGAACCTCTGACCACGCTAGACACATGTTTGCTAAATTTAGCTTTGCCTCAGCAGGCGCTCAGAATAGCTCCTCGAGCTCTCATGTTACCCTTAGACAGTGATTCTTTTAAGGCTGCTTCTCCATGGCAGGCCGGCGCAGAGCAAGGGGCACTCCACGTGCTCTCTCGATGGCCATTGTTAAGAAACTGGCCTAAGGTAAGGGAATCCGGTCAGCCACAGCGAAGATGTTCACTCCCACCTCTCCGCCGCGGGAGCAGGAAGTTAGCCATATATCACCTTTCACGCGTTACAAGTAGTTTGCAGTTAACGGCCTGACATGCTCGATGGTCCTTGAACCACATCCCATATTACTCAGCCGTCCAAGTCTAGCGTCCCTGAATCTCTAGCTTCTCTGAATTAGATGTGGCCAAGTTCTATAAATAGAGAGAAAGCAAACTGGTTCTGTCAATCTTCTCATACTCTGGCAAGATAACATATTTTAAAATTATAAAAATATCTATGTCTTCATCACTCTAAAATTATTACATAACACATGATTTTTGAGGGGAAAAAAAAAAAGTTTACTTCTGTCTCTCCCTACCTTCCAACCCTCATGGACCTTCAAATGTTGTGATCATATTCAGCAAACTAGCAAACGTGAATCCAAACCAAAATTAAAGGCCTACTATGGGCCCAACTCTGTGTTACACAAATAGAGAAATGTTGGAGGTAAAAAAAAGCCGAGTCTCTCACTTTAATTCCCAGACAGACAGTCCATAGTAACTGGCGTTGGCACATTCACAGCTCATGTCAGGTTGACTGCAACTTTTACTGCACTATTAGCTTATGATCACTTTTTTTTTTTTTTTAAATGCTTACTTTTGAGGGAGAGAGAATGTAAGCAGGGGAGGGGCAGAGAGAGGAAGACACAGAATCCAAAGCAGGCTCCAGGCTCTGAACTATCAGCACAGAGCCCAATGCGGGGCTCGAATCCACAAACTGCAAGATCATGACCTGAGCCAAAGTCGGACGTTTAACCAACTAAGCCACCCAGGTGCCCCAGTTCGTGATCACTCTTAATGTGAGCCTTTAGAAACCACTGGAAGGTGGTTTTATCCCCGTGTGCCCTGGAAGGGGCCAACAGCCCCAGAAAGCTGAGGTCTTGAAAAGGTGAGTTGATATTATACATACACGAGGTAGATTCCACGTATTATGAGTTTGGCAGACTCTCCAATTATTCACTATTTATGCCCAATCTGAAGTAAGGCTTCCCCCAACATATGGCCTACTAAAAAACAACAAAATCTTAATACACATTGGCAGACTTTATAAATAAATGATATTTTAATCACCTGGCTTTGTTTAATCCACAAAATCACATTCACGGCTTTTTCTAGTCTGTCTTCCCTAACCACATGACCTGATGTATTTTCTGGAACCTTTCATGTTTTAAGAAAACCATTCTGCCTTTCATTTTGCAACCCCAGAGCCAACTTCCCTTACATTCTTAGTAGCTAATGCAGTCACATCAAAGAAACATTGATGGAATGGTGATCAATTAGAGTCTCAGAGACCTTCAGAATAGTTTAAAAAAAAAAA